CTGACACGCACACACACAAACGTCATCACACACACACACACACATACACACACACACACATGCACGCACGCACACACTGACACACACACACAAATGTCATCACACACACACACACATGCACGCACTGACACACACACGCACACACATACATACAAGCATTCCTACACATACACATACACACAAACACACATACACACACACACACACACTCACATTTACAAACACCGATGTACAAACAAGAATACTCATTGGACGTACAACCACACAAAAGAATGGTTTTCTCAAACACCTTACAATGACTAAATAGCTCATATGTGAGGCAGCGGGGTGGAATCAAGCTCTCGTCAAAATAATGAGATCAAAGAAAACAGCAGTTTTCTCCCTGATTAACACTTTTTATCAAATTTCTATTTTTTGGCTGAACACCTTTATGTCCATTCACAAACACATTCCTTTGAGGATTTCACCGAAATCATTGATCAAAGACACACACACAAAAAATTTAGTTTCCATGGACTCTCTAGCTTTGGAATTTACCAAGCTTTTGCGGCCATTTTCTCGCTAATTTTACCTCTTAAATCAGGTGACCCCCACCTGCTTCAATCCAAAATATCTCCACTTCTATTGAAGATGGACGGGTAATTTTTTCATTGAAAGCAAGACAAATGAACAAGCTTTAAGAGGATACCAATAACTCAATATGCACAAAAATTGACGAGAGCCTGATTCCACCTCGCTGCCTCACATATGGCAGAGGGACCAATAAATTTTTCAACCTGCTGGTTCTAGGGCTTTTTTTTTTTTTCTTTAACAACAAAACATCAACTTCTAACATGTGACAAGTGTCGTTCCCCGTGGTTTTATGCACCCCGCATACTTTAGCAAAATTTGATCATTTTGTGCATAATTTCTGATTATTTTCCATCTATCGTTCTTTGTTAAAATTAACAGAACCGCTTAGTTTCATATTTTTGGGCTCAGTTTGCATAATTTCAGAATTTTTCTTGCATAAAGTGACGGAGACACAAGTGTTCAGATTTAAATTTGTCACTAGACGGCCACTAGAAACCAGCGAAAGAACGCTGGACATACAAAATAAAATTCTAAAAGTTTAAAAATTCCAAACGTGCTGCCTGTCTGGTTGACCACATAAACCTTGTGTTTTAACAAGAGTTTTATGGCACTTGCGACACAATAAGGTCATATAAGTGCCGAAGATTGGAGGAGTTACAAGAGAGTATCAAACACAATAAGGTCATATAAGTGCCGAAGATTGGAGGAGTTACAAGAGAGTATCAAACACAATAAGGTCATATAAGTGCCGAAGATTGGAGGAGTTACAAGAGAGTATCAAACACAATAAGGTCATATAATTGCCGAAGATTGGAGGAGTTACAAGAGAGTATCAAACACAATAAGGT